ATACATAATAAGTGGTTATAATATACGTTGTGTGTCGGAAACACCAAAGAGAAATCGGATTGGATCTTATTAATAAGTAAATGCTTATGATGTAAGGTCAAACGAATGACCACACAGCGGTACTTTTGGCTCTCTATACGCAATGTAGAGAGAAAAAAAAAGGTTAACAACACGAACGAATTCTGTCTTTGGGTGTTTCACAATAAGTTAGAGGAGGTAGATGAACAGATTATTATCCATCATCAAACAGGTTTGATAAAAGACGAAATACCGAATGAATATATATATATATATATATAGCAAAAAGAAGGCACGCGTGCGAAAAGAAGCTACTACTATACTTAGTCAATCTTATAAATGTATACAAGGGTCTTATATATATATAGAAATCCCAGTAGAAAAGACATATAAGCACTAATCAAATTATACTTTATAATTGGAAACAAGAGGAGGTCGTTGTCCAACAGGAAATAAAAAGAAGACTGTTTTTTTTTAAATTAATTAACATGATTTTAATTGCACATTTCAATTAAGCTGAAAAATTGTTCGATTATGTTTACTCTTTTTTTAAATTTATTATCACTTATATAGTAGCCAATTCTGATTTGTTTGATTTATTTATAAGAATATATTTTCTATAAATTTAATAGTTTTCATTAATTGTCATTCTGATTAATAGTCGTTCTGATCAATAGTAGTTTTGATTAATAGTCATTCTGATCAATAGTAGTTTTGATTAATAGTCATTCTGAACAATAGTAGTTTTGATTAATAGTAGTTTGTTCTTTCTGAATGACTATTAATCGAAGTTTTCAGTAGCCTTCTTTAAAAACTACTAGTAATTGCAGCTAATGCTACTAGAAACTACTATTAATTGAAGTTATAAACTACATTCTTTCGAAACTACTATTAGTTGAAGCTAACACTACTAAAAACTACTATTAATTGAAGCTATAAACTACATTCTTTCGAAACTACTATTAATTGCAGTTAAGAATATAAAAAACTACTATTAGTTGAAGAAACACTACTAGAAACTACTATTAGTTGAAGCTAACACTACTAGAAACTACTATTAATTGAAATATAATCTACATTATTTCGAAACTACTATTAGTTAAAGCTAACACTACTAGAAACTACTATTAATTGAAGCTATAAACTACATTCTTTCGAAACTACTATTAGTTGAAGCTAACACTACTAGAAACTACTATTAATTGAAGCTATAAACTACATTCTTTCGAAACTACTATTAATTGCAGTTTAGAATATAAAAAACTACTGTTAGTTGAAGCTAACACTACTACAAACTACTATTAATTGAAGATATAAACTACATTCTTTCGAAACTACTATTAGTTGAAGCTAAAACTACTAAAACTACTGTTAATTGAAGCTAACATTACTAAAAACTACTATTAAATGAAGCTATAAACTACATTATTTTGAAACTACTATTAATTGCAGCTATCACTAAAAGGTACTATTGGAAATTGAAACTACCGAAATAAAAAACTACCATTAATTGGAACTAACACTACTAGTAGCTACTATTAATTGAAGCTACAAAATACATTTTTCGAAACTAATGTTAATTGCAGCTAACACTATAAGAAACTACTAGAAATTGAAGCTATACAATTTATTCTTTTAAACTAACACTATTAGAAACTACTAATATTTGAAGCTATAAACTACTTTCCTTTGGAACTACTAATAATTGAAGTTATAATTTTCTGTTTGCAACTAATATTAATTGAAGTTATAAACTACATTTTTTTAAAAACTACTATTAATTAAAGATAAATATTCTGAACTACAGATTAAACTAAACCTATCACTGATAAAATCGATAATTGAAGCTTATAAATTGCAGTTAATTACCATATTTGACTCTAGTATAAAGAAATATTAATTGTTTTACAGAAGAAGCATTATTAATTTTTTTTTTTGTCTTTTTAAGAATAGTGATGTGAATCATCATTTGGTGCATTTTAGTGGAACAAATGAAGAAAAAAAGGAAGAGAGAGAGAGAGAGAGATGAAACAAGACACTTAACATTGACGCGTCGATTTTGTTGCTCAATGTAAACAAGAACATTCTTGAAGTCATTTTCCCATGTTAAATATTAAATATGATGAAATAATAATACCCCTATATACATGAGGATAGGTAGGCAGGCGTAAGTACGTTGTTTTAAAAACAGAATTGATATCAAAAGAGAAAATATTTAACTTCCATTTGATGCGAGACGATACTTTAGTGTCTTGGTTGGGAGTCTTTAGAAGTCGTTGACAGCATATTTCTCAGGGTTTGGTCTCTCTCTCTCTCTTTCTCTTTCTTTTTAACTTGCACGGTAGAAGCAATATATATATATATATATATTCATTATCATAATCTGAGTCTGCGAGAGTGGTGTGCAGTCGGAGTAGTATCGCAACTTGATTATTGCCATTCCTACAGCATGATAAGCATACATATATATATATATACTCGAGTACGATGCGATGATCCCCGTGGGCCAGCTGGTCAAGAAAGTTACTTGGAGAACCAGAGCCGCGAGGTCATATGGACCAGGGATTTTAGTCGGAAGTATATTGTCGATATCTCGTCTTACATCCGTTCATTCCTTGAGTGCATCGTTGCAGATGTCTTCGTGTTTTAATGACTCTCTCTCTCTCTCTTTCTTTCTCTCGTGTCTTTTAACGAAATTTATATACATACTCTTTAAATCTGCACTCGGAAAAAAGTTTTGTTTAAACTAAATATACCGTTTTTTGTAATAATGCAATTAATTTTGGTTATTTTAATCAAAATTTGCCTAATTCAAATGAAAATTTATTTGATTTAAATAAACATTTGGTTTACTGTAATAAATTTTTCGAATGAAGAAAGAATTTGGTTGAACCAAATAAACATTTGGTTAATTCAATATTTTTGAAAACTACTAAAAAGAATATATTTTCAATCAAAAATTGACTACTTGTACCAATACTGGTACGAATATCTGTATCATACTGGTACCATACCTATACCATATTGGTACCACCACTGGTACCAATACCTGTACAATACTGGTACCTACACCTGTATCATTACTGGTACCAAAAGCTTCAAAATACTGGCACCATTACTGGTACCACTACTGGTACCACTATTGGTACCACATTACTGTACCATACTGGTACTAATACTGGTACTAATACCTGTACCATACTAGTACCAATACCTGTAACATACTGGTACCAATACTGATATCAATACCTGTACCATACTGGTACTAATACCTCTACCATACTGGTACCAATACCTGTATCATTATTGCTAAAAATACTGGTACCAATTCCTGTACCATATTGGTACCAATAATGGTACCAATACCTGTCACATACTAGTACCAATACTGGTATCAATACCTGTACCATACTAGTACCAATACTGGTACTAATACCTCTACCATACTGGTACCAATACCTGTACTAATACTGTAACATACTGGTACCAATACTGTTACCATCACCTGTACCACACTGGTACCAATACCTGTATTATTAGTGGTACCAATACCTGTACCATACTGATACCAATACATGCACAATACTGGTACCAATACCTGTATCATTACTGGTACCAGTAGCTTTAAAAATACTGGTACCACTACTGATACCATCACCTGTATCATTCCTGTATCATTACTGGTACCAGAGTGGCACATGTGTTGGTATGTGTTGGTACCAGTAGTGGTAATAGTAGTGGTACTAGTATTGGTACCAGTATTGTACGGGTGTTGGTTTCAGTAATAATACAGGTAATGGTGCCAGTATTGTACAGGTGTTGGTACCAGTAATAATACAGGTGTTGGTACCACTAATAATACAGTTATTGGTACCAGTATGATACAGGTATTGGTACCAGTATGTTACAGGTATTATTAATAATAGCGCGATTAAAATAACTGCGCCTCTTCATTTTTAAAGAATTTTTTATTCTAACCGCAAATAATATTCGAGGAAGGGTAAATCAAATGTAATGAATAATAATTAAAAAACGTTATTACGAATTCGCGCATTAAACACGTGTGATATAAGCTTACTGTTTTCTTATCGTTCTTATATATTATATACTCGACATTCAAAAGGCCAATGCATTTTACAGGACGCGTGCTACATCAACCACATTGCGGGCATGTTTCCAAGTAGCCGTAATTGTCACATAATAGGCGCCAGAATTACATTCATGTTTCACGTGAACAAATGGAGATCCCTTTTGATTATATTTATACATATATTGTGTTAGTCACGGATTTTTGATGGACGGTCATTTATATATTGTATTGTATGCGGTTTATTATAATATATACCAATTTTCTCTTCTCTCATTCAGCGCAAGAGATATATAAATTATGAGTAAGCGTGCGCCACTCACGTGCCATAATTTTACAATTACTTTTTTTCCCCTTTACTATTTCTTAATAAAAAATCGTTTTTGACAATTTTTTTTTAACCATTATTATTTTTCGTACGAAAAAAGTAAAAATGAGAAATTTTTTACTTGCATTTATTTGGGATACATTTTTTTTTTTTTTTTCATTTGAAAAAATTATTTTTGTTAGAAAATAATTTTGAAAATCCTCAAATACCCAAAGAGAGCTACTGTTATAAATTGATGCTCAATTATTTGAAATTGCTTTTGTAGATATCAAGTAGCGATTTTCAATCTTGAACCTCAGTCAAGATTGCTGTGGCGTGTTTCTTTTTTCTTTTGATAAGAATGAAGTATTTGTTATGATTAAAACAGAAGGCGCCTCTCTCTGCGTAGACAATACATTGGATATATTATATATCTTCACTATATTCAACCCCATTTGAAATATACTATTGAAATATAATATTGTATAATTTGTATAGTTAAAAAAATCAACAGTAGCAAATTTTATATGTAGAAAAAAATTTATTGTTTTGTAAAATAAAATTTTTTCCTTTTTTTTTTTGTTACAGGTAAAGCTTACATTTAACAGCGATCTAGAGACAATGCAATCAGAATGGAAAAAGAGTCGCTATGATTGGCTACCCTCTTTTAATGAAATTCCAAAACACTTTAAAGAAGTAATGGAACAAAAGTACCTGGACCAATTCGATGTTCGTCTGGTAAATTTTTTTTTCTTTTCTCAATTTTTACACTCAGAGAAATGGTATATTTGTCTCGGAGCCTACTAACTCATTTATTTGTTGCAAATATATTTTATTTCATTGAAATAAAAAATTTATTTGAGGCAAAGAAAAATTTATTTCTGACAAATAAAACTTTTATTTACGCCAAATAAATAAGTTAGTAGGCTCTGAGACAAATATACGTTTATTTAACTCAAATATATTTTATTTGGTTCAAATAAATCATTTCTCTGCGTGTACACAAAAAAGTAATATAATAATAAATAAATAAAAAAAAATGTCTTTTTTTTTTGTTGCAGCTTGACACTATTTTGTTAAATATATACGAGTATATGCAAAAATTTGCAGTGGGTCTAGAGCAAATTGTCTGGGATCAGGAATATTATAACGGAAGATTCCAAGAGGAGTTCAAACAGACCGAATTAAATCTCGGAGCGGTGAGTGTTCTTATATATATAAATTTTGAGTGCAATTTTTTTTTTCCAAGAGAGATTTACGAAGCAAAAGAGAGGCACAACTTTCACAATAGAATATTAGTTTTTTTTTTTAAAACAACTATTGTTTCAAATAATAATAATAAAAGATAAATTTTTTTTTATGGCCAACCTCAAGATGAGGGTATTAAAATCTCGCGACTAAAGAAGCGTGATTTTATTATAGGTCATTATTTTGTGTTACGCATTTTAATCGATTTTTGCTTCTATCGTTTGTTCTCACTCACCTTTTTCTTATTTGCCGTCAATGGTCAGCTTTTTTTTTTTTTTTATTACCTGAAACAAAAAGTATTTATTATTAATTTTTTATCTTTCCTTGTGGCGCAATCAATAGTTTTCTCGATTTTCATGACTATTAAATTCTATTTCTAGTTTCATTTTTATTCTCATATAAAAATATAGTTTTGCAATATATTTCCTTATTGTTTAATATAAAAAAAAAAAAAAAAAAAAAAAATTAGAAGGGAAAATTTTTTATGAACCCAGATTAAATAAAGAGAATTTTTATTTTTTATTTTTCAGGTTCTGTGTATGCTGCAAACAGCCCTTGTTGAGAGAGCAGTCACATTTAAACAGGACGTATCGCCAGCAATAATGAATCATGAATATCGAAAAATGACAGCCGAGACGTATCGAAATTTACGTGATTTTCTCATTTTTCGAGACTACGTGAATGGACTCGAATTCATTCTACAGGTGTTTGATCATTTACAATCGAAATTAACATCCTGAGGTCAACAAGGCGAAAGCTGGCGCAGGGTATCGAGGCGACGATTCATCAATTTCAGAAAATCCGGATAAATCCATGAGTTGTGAAATAAGAAGAAAATATAATTTTCCTCTCGTGAATTTTGCAAAACAACATTTTTTTTCCCCAGGGACACACTTGCAATATTTTCATATTATCCTTCCTCCCCCCTCTTGATTAATATATATAACAGAAAAAAAAAGAAATTTTATTTCTTCTTAAAAATAAAATTTTCTTTTTTTTTTTTTTTTAGTCAAAATATTGAATAATGGACAAAGAAAACATGATCAACAAACAAAAATTTCGCACATGTCCAGAAAAATTATTTTTCAATCAAGATGAATCGTGAAGCTAATCATTTTTCTCAAAAAAAAAATATGAGGAAGTGTATTGCACTCGACTCTTATCTTGTCATTGATAACGAAAAAAAAAAATTAGAAAAACTGCGACGATGAGTGAAAGAAGAAATTTGAAGATTATGTTCACTTCATTTTGATACCATTTGGATGGTATTAAGGAAAAAGTTTAAAAAAAAAAATTTCCATTTTTCAATGATATATTGCTTAACGTATAGTGGATTTTGACCGAGGAATGACGTGGCTTCGAGTCAAGATATGGATTCTTCATTTTATTATTATTTGAAGATGAAAAGAAGACGAGGGAGACAAAGAGCAAGAGGAAAAGAGAGTCGCCCGAAACAAGCCCGCCGCCGGCTTTCGCCGCCGTCGCCAAGTCATTTCAAATGTAGCTGACATCTTCGCACACCTGTATTTTTTTTCCAACACACACACATAAATACGTACAAAATAAAAAAAAAGCCACCTTATGTGAATATATAAAAGGAAAAACGAAATAGCTCGAATTTACACAAACACACACACAAACACGGTTCTTACTCTGTCATCCAAGGTCTTCGATCTTCAATTTCAAGAAAATTGTCGCGCTTGATTTCCCCCCCCCCCCTTTTTTTTAATCCAATTCATTTTTTTATTCGTCCAGTTTTAAAAATAATTTTTTTTATTAATTCATTTTTTTTTAAATTTTTTTCCCGCCTTTTTTCAAACAAATCATTCAAATTACAATTTATGGGGAAATAATGTCGTAAAACAATGTCTATTAATATTTGTATGAGAAATATAATTTTTAGAATCTCGGTGAAAAAAATTTTATGTGAATATTATATAAATAATATTGTGAACCTTTTTCAATAACTTTTTTTTGTATTGTTATTGTTTTTTTTTTTTTTGTGAATTTAGTGTGAAAACTATGGGAAAATTATTGTCTCTGTGAAAATTGTTACGTGTACGTACGCCGAATTTTTCCTGAAAAAAATAGAATTTTTATTGCGATTCTCGAACATTAGTTTTTTTTGGATAATTTTATACACTGGTAAAGAATCAGAAGTCAAGTAGATTTTTATTAATCATTTAAAATTTTTTTTTTAAGATTTCATTTTTAAATACTTTATAATATGTTCGAGATGTAGTAATAAAAATACATGAAGTTCTCAGTGGCTGTATTTTTTTTTTTTTTTCAAGTGAGCGACTATTTTTCGGGAGTTTGAACCATGACTTTATTCGCTATATATCTAGATGAAAAAAAAAAAACTATTTTTTTAAAGTGCGAAAAAGTGTAGACGAATATAGAATGCACGATAAGTTATAAGAGTGAGAATGAAGGAGAGCAGAAAGCGAAAGAGAGCGAAAAAAAGAGAAAATATATTCTCATTTTTGATTTTAAAATCAATTCAGGTGTTTTCACGTTAATGTTCGCTTCTATTTTGCTTTTATTTAGTCATGAAAAATGCAAATTTATTTGAGAAATATATAAAAAAAAAAATTATTCGGAAAAGTTTCTAATGAAATTAAAATTTTATTTAATGAATTTTTATTGAATTAAATTTTTAATTAACTTCATAAAAATTCATTAGAATTTTTTATTGAAATTTCTAATATTGAAAAGAATTTATCAATAAAAAAAAAAAAAAAAAATTTCCAGTAAATTTTTCATTATTTGTAAATTTAATGTTTCGTTTGAATTAAAATTTAATTTAATTAAAATTATTTTTATTAAATTAAATAATTTATCAAATGTTCAATTAAATTTTATAATTAAATGATAAAATTGAAAAAAAAATTTTGCATTAGAAATTTTTTTTCGAAGAAGAAGAAGAATAAGAAGAACATGAAATCTTTTGCATTTTTCTTTATCATATAAATATTGAAGCTTACACACGTGTGAAAGCACCAAAATTTTGTGAGATAACATATAGTATTTATATATGCACTTTGTGTGCGTCACGAAAGAGTTTATCTATATAGAGTGAGTTTCAACTTACATTATTATTAATATTATAGAAAGAGAGAGAGAGAGAGATGAAAAATTAAAAAACGTTCTGCGCCTTCGATCCTCTTTAAAAAAAAAAAAAGAAAAATGAAAGTTTACACGATTAATAATTTATTGACTAACTATATATGTAATTATTATTACTCTTAATACGCATATTTATTCAGATTATTTATTTTATTTTTATAAAGACTTTACAAGCAGCCTGATGGAATACTGTATTTAAAAAAAAAGTATGGATGTATTTAGAGTATAATAAGGAAAAAAATTTGTAAATATTAAAAAATATAGAAAAATCGCATTGTTATGTCAAAATCTATACTTCCGGTAACAAGTCGCGCTGCTGCTGCTGCTGTTACTATATATATATACATATTTTTTTCGACGTACCTCTTCGCAGAGTGTGATTTTCTTTTTTTCATACTGAAAGTGTTTATAGACAATTTTTTTTTTTTTTTATACTCGTTTATTATTTTTTTATATAGAGTGCAAATGTTGCGTCCGGTGATCTGTCCAACTGTTTATTGTTTTCTTTTTTCTTCAATTAATTAACATCACAAAATTTAATTCATCTTTTTCTTTGCTCCATCGTTTTTCAAAAAAAAAAATTTTAATTTTTTTCTAATTTTAATTTGGTTCAAATAATTTTTTTCTAAATACACGCTTCAAATGATTTTAAGTTGATTTAAATGATTTTAAATTGAATGAATTTAAATGACTTGAAATTAATTTGTTCCAAATAAAAATTATTTAATAACATATTTTTCAATTTTTTTTTATTATAGTGATTTCAAAAAATATCATTGAATGGAGTAAGGAAAAATATGAATTTTTTTTTTCCAAGACCAGTGAAAATATATTGTCGCATGACATTCTTTTATGAGAGTCTGTTGTGTGTTGTATTTTTTTTTTCTTTTTTTTTTTTTTTTTTTTTTTTTTTTTGATTTTGGTTGCAGATCACATTTTTTGTGATTTTAATTAAATGGCACTATACTTAATTTCTATTTATATTGGTCTTGTTTATAATTTTAATAATCATTTTTCTTTTGCGCACATTACCACAATGTCATTTATATAAATCATCGTGTCTGTGATATACATAATTTAAATAAATCTTATTAAAAAAAAAAAAAAAAAACCTTACAACTAAAATACTAATATCAATTTTGATTATAAACCTTCATCACGATTACAAATTAAATTTAATATCTCAAAAAAAATCGCGAATTTTATTATTTTTCATAATTTTTTTTTCACAATTTTTTTTTTTTTTATACACATTTAATGCAGCAGCGCAACACGTTACAAATATATATATATATAATATATTGCGAAAATGAAAATGAGACGAGAAGCGATTAATTTGAAAAAAAATTTTGGAGATAAATTTAAAAAAAAGAGAAATTCAAGCTTCCTATCATTTTTATTTTGTATCAGTATTTTTTTTTTTTAAAGAAATGAAATTAAAATCAAGAAACGGTCATCGATGTTAATTTTTTTTCTTTCTTATAATAATGAATCGAACGAAAAATTTTAATTTAAAAAAAAATCTGCTTTTTTGAAAAAAATGAATATTTTTAATTTTCTAAAACAATAATAATAATAATAATAATAATAATAATAATAATAATAATAATAATAATAATAATAAATTTTGATGACCGTTTGACAATTTTTTTTTTCGCTGTTTCAATCCCTCAAAAAAAAAATCGATGCATCCCATTATTATATTTTTATTATTATTGTACGATATATAAGATAAATAATTCGATTGTAATTAACTTTTCAATTGCTTCGTACACATATTATTGTAAATAAAAAAGGATTTAATAATGTCAAAAGCTGCAAAAAAAAAAAAAAAAAAAATTATTATACTATATGTGGATATGTATAATGTATTATATATGGGTCGCCAAATTAGATGCCCAAAATCCGTTGTATCATATTAAACCAAAGACGTTCATTCATTGAAAAATCTGATTTTTTATATTTTCATCCTTATCCTACATTATCCTTTTATCAGTTTTATCTTCGTTGTTTTTTTAAAAATATAAAATTGATTTAATTGCTATTAATTAATTAATTTCTAATTTTTATATTTTTTCAATTATAATATAAAAAATTTATTTGATTCAAATAATTGTTACTTTCCCTCATAACAAAAGGATATCCCTAGGATATCCATATCAATGGTCGATATCCTAGAATAGTCCCCAGGATATCTTGGGATATCCATAGGATATCCAAACCACCGGTCTGTGGGACATCCATAGGATATCCACAGGATATCCCTAAGACATCCACAAAATATCTATTGGATATTATATCGCAGGATATCCATGGGATATCCTCAGGATGTCCGTGGGATATTCACGGGATATTTAATATCTAAACATATATTTTTAAAGGTTAAAATTGTTAAGCTAATATATAAAATATTTATAAAATATTTATATAAAATTTAATTCACAGAATATTCTCACTCGTAGTCTCATAATGACTTTAAAAACAGTATCCTGAGAATATATTCTTGACATCCAGAAGATATACTGAGAATATCCTGAAAATATCTGTGGAATATCTGGAGGACATTTATGAAAGTCTATAGAGATATCCAGAAGATATCCTGTGGATATCCTCAGATATCCATGGGATATCCAAAGGATATCCAAACCGCCGATTTTTTGGATATCCTTAAGAGATCCTTTTGATATCCATAGGACATCCCTAGGATATCTGCGGGATATTATCAATATATCCCAAGATATCTTGTGTTATTAGGGTTAATAAATAAATAAATTAAATATTTAATAAATTATTTAAAAAAATTTTATTAATTATTATTAATAAAATTTGTTTTTTATGCAAGAAAATGAAAATTCCTTTCTCGTTTCTCGTGCGGGATTTTTTAAAAGAGGAAACGAATGAGTGTATATACACTCATGATCATTCAAGCCGCCATATTTGCCCACGTAGACCAACTTACTTTCTCATAAAAATTCTTCAAGACGATGCTGGATCGACTGTTTGACGTATATCGTCCTTCCCTTCAACTTCTTCGTCCAGGTGGTCCTTCTTCTCTTTCTTTCTCACTCTTTCATTCTCTCGAGAGCGCGGCGCCGAGGTGTCAATGTTTTAGCTGGCTATTAAGATCGTTAGGATCGTGCGCTCTGTAACTTATTTTCTTTTGAGTATATACCGCGTCACGATTATAATGTGTCACTCATCATCAGTGTTTTACTGAGAGAAAACAATGATAATCGTATATAATTTTTTTTTGCATATTTACAGTGAAATTGTCACTCGAATAAAACATTTTTTTTTTCGATTAATATTTGTTTTTTGAGTAAGAAAATCATATTTTTGAATTTTTTTCCCTCGTGCAAATTTTTTTTTGTAACAGCAAATTATGCATTTTCGAGGTGTAACATAATGTCACCGGTAGAGAAAGCAGTTAATCCAAATGTAAAAAAATAAATCACCATTTGAAAGATAATTAAATTACCCTCACAAACCATTGGTCAACAAATAAAATTCATTCAAAATTATCAGAGTTACAGTCGATCAAAGTTCAAATTTTAAGCAAATTTTAAGGATTTTTAGACATTTGTCTAAAATTTCGCTAATTTTTTCAAAGTCAAAATAATCAAAAAAAGGCAAGTTTTAAATTTTTTTATTAATAATATATTTAATTACAAAACTTTTAAGCCTTTATAGACCTCGATCGGATAAAAAAATGACTATTCTACACTAGATTTATTAAACAAAGTAATTTTTCACTTTTAGTATATTTTCAAGTGATTTCGATCTATATATCAGTTTTGTATAAAACTAAGTTAAGCAACCCAAGAAGCACGTAATATAACCTCAATATCAAGGTAATATTACATGTAAGATTCGTAATATAACGTTGTAATATTACAGTAATCTTACAGTGATCTTAAAATGTCCGCCTCAAGGTAATATTACCGGTAATGTTACTGTAATATTACGCGCTAATATTAAGGTAATATTACAGTAATATTGCAGTAATATTATACCGTAATATTAAGGTAATATTATACCGTAATATTAAGGTAATATTACAAGAGAATATTACAGTAATATTATGGGAACATTTCTTTACGAAAAAAATCTACCCATCCAGGGAATCGAACCCCGAACTCAAAGCACACGAGTCCAGAGTTTTACCAACAAGCCAAATTGACTTATAATATATTTACATTTTTTATACTTTATGAATAACTCAAATCAGTCTGTAATATTACTGTAATATTACCGTTAATATTACAGTAATATTCCCGGTAATATTACCTTGAGGCGGACATTTTAAGATCACTGTAAGATTACTGTAATATTACAGCGTTATATTACGAATCTCACGTGTAATATTACCTTGATATTGAGGATATATTACGTGCTTATTTGAGAGGTCAATAAAACATTTTCCAAAAGAAATTTACTATTTTTCAGTCAACTAAAACTAACGGTAGTTGAATTTTTCGACTAATTTTTTTCAGTGTATCCACCAGCAGTTATTTTAAAATTACAAAAAAATCAGTAAAAAATAAACTCAATAAAAAAACTAGTAGATTTGCGACTACTTTTTAACTACCCTGCATAGTTCAATAGGTCCTTAACTGAATTTAAAAAGGACTATTAAAAAGTAGTTAAAAGAACTAAGAATTTAGTTGGGTGAAGGAGATTTTGTAATTGTTCTAATTTTTGAAGTTGAATTTAACTACTTTTGTTAAGTACAATTAACTATTAATTTTTAACTCCATATAAAAAATAGTTACACGCACATAGTTAAAATAACCAAAAAAGTAGTTACTTTTACTACTTTCAAGTCAGTTAACTAAAGGTAGTTGGAATTTCCGTGGAGTAGTTTCCGTAGAATCGTTTCACCTGGGTTTTTATCCGATCGAGGTCTATAAAGGCTTAAAAGTTTCGTAATTAAATATATTATTAATAAAAAATTTAAAACTTGCCTTTTTTGATTATTTGACTTTGAAAAAATTAGCGAAAGTTAGAGGAAATGTTCAAAAATCATTAAAATTTGCCTGAAATTTGAACTTTGATCGACTGTAACTCGTCAGCTACTATTAAATATTCTACTACTATTATATCTTCAAACTATTATTTTTTATACTACTATTAAATCTTCAGCTATACTATTATATTATTACTTTTATAGTTGAAGTTATAGTATTTTATAATTTTTCTTCTATTTAACTTTAACAAACTATTATATTTTCAACTATACTATTATAACTGAAATTGTACCTACACTGAGAAAAAAAATTTAGTGTTTGCAACAAAATTGTTTGGTGTGGCAATTTTGGTTCTTGTAACCAAATTTTGGTTGGATGAAACAAAGTCGTAGAGTTATCTCAACCAAACATTTAGTTAGGCCAACAAAATTATTTGGTTGAACATTTTTAAATTATAACTAAAATTTGGTTACGACAAGAAAATAATTTGGTTAACACAACAAAATAGTTTGGTCTAAAAAACTATATGATCGTTTGTTGTCCTAACCAAAATTTGGTTGCGACAACCAAATAATTTGATTCGCTCTCAGCTTACAGCTTAAGAGGACAGTTAGTTTAAATCTCTCACAAGGATGCGTAGTCCAGTGGTCAGAGCTCCCGACCTTCAGTTTTAAAACAGAGGTTCGATCCCAGGCGGAGATGAAATTTTTCAAAGTCCACAAATATTTCAATTGAATAAATATAAATTCAATGTTAAATTGATAATAAATAAATAATGAAATAAATAAAAAAGAAAAGAAATAAGGTAGAATAAAATTTTTAATTTTACAAAACAAAATGTTTGTTTGGTCAACCCAACATTTTTGTTGGCCTAACAAAAAAAATTTGGTTGAGCTAACCAAACATTTTTGGTATGCCAACAAAAAACACTCAACCAAATTTTTTGATTGACTCAAAGAAATAGTTTGGTTGCTTAAATACCAACAACATTTTTTTGTTGGCCCAACCAAATTTTGGTTGCTCTGACTAAACATTTTTCTCAGTGTATAGTTGTAGAATTATTTCTTGCTTGCTTGTAGCTTCAATATAAATATAATGTACACTGAGAAAAAAGGTTTGAGCTGACAACCAAATATTTCATTTAATACATGTGCAACTAAAATTTTTTGGTTGACACAACTAAACTTTAGTTGACAACAACCAAAGTTTGTTTCAGACGACTAAATAAGAAAATGAAAAAGAATTTGGTAGTCTCAACCAAACTTTGGTTGATGTCAACTAAAGTTTAGTTGTGTCAACCAAAAAATTTTAGTTGCACATATATTAAATGAAATATTTGGTTGCGTCAGCTCAAACCTTTTTTCTCAGTGTAAAGTAAATTAACTTTGCCTACAAAATTGTGCGAATAAAAAAAATTAATTTAGGCAAATTAAGAAATAGAAACAGAAAAGGGCGAGTGTATGATATCGGTATGACGTCATTGGAAAGTTCTTCTTTTAAATAATCATCATCCAGTTATGCATTTCCTGTGGCAAAAGAAAAGGATCTTGAGAACCGCGTACATATATATATATATATATATTCAAGGATCCTGTGCGTGTTTGTTGTTCGATCGGGTTCCACATTCAATTTTTGGTATCTGCAGAATCCAAAGGAAGCCTTTTGTCTCGCGTTTATTGGAAGTTGTGTGTCTCGAGGGTCACTAGGAATGTAGCGGGAGTCCAGCTTTGTGGACCCAACGAGATGAGGACCATGAAGATCGGTAAGGTGGAGGCGGAGGACGACGACTTCTTCTTCTTCTTCTTCTTCTTCATCTTCCTTCCATTGGGAACATATATGCGGGCACACTGTCCTAATTACAACCGGGCCTCCTATTTTTTCAAGCTGAAAGGAGCCGAAATATTCGCCCCGCGGCTATGGACTAGACGCAATTCGGTATAGCTCCCAGGACTACTCTTCTCATTCTCAAATATATATATATATATATATATATATATATATATATATTCGCTCTCATATACATATATATATATATAAAGTCTGCGGAGGCCCAAAATGTGCCCCGAAAAAAAAGGATCGACCGCCATCGTCGTTTTGATGCGACACGTTATATTGCCGCAGTTTTTCCAAAACCATTCAAATATATAGTATAACCATTAACAGAAATTTTTTTTCCCCTTCGCTCTTTCATTCTCTCTTCTTCTCATTCAAGCCTCGCCGCATGAGATTCGATCTTACCTTTTGCGCGTATATACCATTCGCTAAAGAGAATTCTCCAAGCTTTCCCGGATACTTCACCTTCTATTGTATTGACGATTTCACAGGGCCCGAAATTTCATTCATTCCATTCTTGCGCACTTACAACTACAACCTTCACAAAGTAATGGATATATATATATATATATATATTTTTTTTCTCTTTCGAGCTTTTCCATTAAAAGGTATTTTATGTGTATGGTAATTGTTCCTATATTCATGCGGAACAATTTCTTATATAACTTCTTTTTTTTTTTAACATTCCAATGTTTCTCACAGGAAATTTGATTTTCATGGAAGGAAATAGAATTGAACTAGATAAAATACATTATAAAGGATTTATTTCATATTTCAAAAAAATTACAATATAATTGTCACATGTAGGAAAATTTTAAAACTTATACAATTACACGGTTTTTTTTACCATGTAAGTTAAATTTTATTTTCACGTAGATTAAAACATTAAAGAAAATATAAATTTGAGGCATTCTTTGTCAATAAGACACACCCGCCCAGAATATTTTTAATGAAAAAAAGGTTTCTATTAGATCAAATTACAGCAAAATTTTATCTATTTTTTCATTTCGTATGGCACTTTTTAAATATTTAATATGGAGGGCCACAAAAGTCAAAAAAAAACTGCAATGTCAGCACGAATGAAAAAAATGTTTAACATATAAGTTACATTTATAATTAAAAAGATTAGAAGTAATTACAAATAACAATAATAATTACAAAAATTAGGTAGAATTTTTCTCTTCAAAACTGTTCATAAAATATAGTCAACTTTTACGAGAGTCACGAACAGTAGATTAATGTCTCAAAGAAAGGTAATAAATATACGTTAATGTTGCAAATGCACAGAAAACGAAAACGTATAAAAGCTTATTTAATAATCTTCAACCTGGAAGAGTTGTACGCAAAATTCAAAACATTCAAGCTTCACATATGACGATAAAAATAACCACAACATAGTTTACTTACAAACTGTGATAACGTATCTCCATTCAAAATTCAAAAATTTAAAATGGCGGATTAAATATGGCGGATAAAATTAAAAATTGAGCTAGACTCGTGAAATGTACTACTTGGGGGTTTTCGAGGTCGCTGGTTACAAATTTGATGTCAGTTTTTAAAAATAATAAATGGCGGATTCAAAATGGCGGACCAAACATTTAAAAAATGGAGCTAATTTCGTAAAAATGTCTACATAGGGGTTTTTTTGGTCGCTGATTACAAATCCGATGTCAGTTTTAAAAATTTTTTGAATGGTTGATGACAAATCTCTATTTAAAATTCAAAATGGCGGATAGAATTAAAAAATTAAGCTAGTCTTGTGATTATTAATTAAATAATCCTCACGTAATTTCCATAAAAAGTTATCTGGCGTTGTATTTGATTAGTTCAAATGGCACCTTTTTACGTTCTATATAAAAAAGTTAGATCAATTTTTTATGTTTTGGTCCACCATTTTAAATTCACTATTTTGATTTTTTAAAAAGTAACAATGAATTCGTAAAGATTGTCCTGAAAAACCCTTAGGTAGACATTTTAACGAGTTTAGCTCAATTTTTTGGATTTTTGGTCAGCCATTTAGAATTTTTAAAAATTACCCGCAGATTCGTAATCAGTGACCCCGAAAACTCCCGAGTAAACAATTTCACGGGTTTAACTCAATTATTTAAATTTTGGGCTACTATTTTAAGTCTGCCATTTTGAATTTTTAAAATCTAATAACGGATTTGTATTCAGCGACCCCAAAAACCCCCGAGTAACAAGTTTCAGGCGAATCTAAACGATTTTTTAATTTTTGTCCATCATATTGGATCCGCCATTTTGAATTTTTGAAAACTAACACCGGATTCGTCATCAGCGACTCCAAAAACCCCCGTGTAACAAGTTTCAATCGAATCTACACGATTTTTCATTTTTTGGTCCGCCATATTGAATCCGCCATTTTGAATTTTTGAAAACTAACACCGGATTCGTAATCAGCGACCTCGAAAACCCCCAAGTAGTAATTTTCACGAGCATTTTAAGGATATCAAAAATTTTAAGCAAATTCGGACAATTTACAAAAATTTTGACAAAAATAATAGACTTTTCTCTCCAGAGGCTGTCAAGTGACTGTCATCAGAGACTGTAATGTTTGTATTTTCTTTTAAAAATAAATTATTATAATAATACACTCGTTTTAATATCATATTTCAAGAGATAATTTCATATTTCTTGCTGATAATGCAGTTTTTTTTTACTTTTGTGGCCCTCCATATTAAATAATTAAAAAGTGCCATACGGCATGAAAAAAAAATAGATAAAATTTGCTGTAATTTGACCTAATAGAAACCTTTTTTTCATTAAAAATATTCTGGGCCCCATTTACAAATTACTATACTAATTGCAATTCTTTGCTATAAGCATTCAAAAAATAATTAGTACAAGTTTTTTCATCAGCTGGCATAAATTGACCATCACCAACTAATTCAATATCAACATTATCAATAAATTTAGCCAACGATGTAAAATCATGTTTATCATTATCAGAATAAAGACGTACTGTCCACGTAGCAAAAGGACTCAAAATATAATCATTATTATCAAAATTAGAACGTCTTTTTCTTAATGTATTGTCATTTGAAAATAATGTGCCAAAAGAACCGGATTTAATTAAATGTATTTTATCATCACATCTATAGTAAGAATCACCATTGTGATCATAAAATATTTCATATTCATTTAAAGCATTTTGTAATTCGTCATTAATTTTAACATCTGTGGAAGTAAGTAAAAATTTTACTTCTTCAAATTTTAATGCATTTAAACGTTCTGTTTTTGAAATATTAGCAAATAATTTAATTTCTTTTCCTTTGAGAAAATCTTCAATTATTGATGAATACTCCTTGTTATTCCATTTATAAAATGCAGGTTTAGTTCCACCATTTCCAAATTTGCATTCCTTGATTTTTTTAAATAATGGACCTTGTGCACTTTTTTTGTTTAAAAAGATGTTTAAACTTTTCATTTTTTCAAAAATAATACTTGCTTTTCTAAGACCATTTTCAAATAAATTATGAGGATTTGTCATGAATTCGGCGAATTCTCTAATATATGGATATGTATAACCTTTCATTGCAATTATTAACTTATCATAATCATCAATAATACGATTTGAATAATGTATCTCCTCTAGCTTTGTAATATCTTCAATAAGTTGAAAATCATTTATATTTGGAATATCATAAGGTACAATTGCCAAATCTTTTGAAAAATCAGCACGTTTTATTTCAGTTTTAAATTCTTTAATTCGAACATGCATTTTAATAATAGCACCCATAGCATTTTTAATTTTTTCCAATATTTCCATAACTTCAGTACCCACTTTAAATTCTTTAGTCCATTTGGTCAATTCTTTTGAAACACCAGTTAAATAATCATCCATTTGAAATTGTTGATATTCAAGTAGTGCTCTTGATGATATTGCAAATTTATCAGAACTTTTATGTAAATCCTTTCGAATACGTTCAATTTGTGGTCCTAAATCATTATGAACACTTTTTTTAAATTCTTCCAATTTTTTAATATCATTCTCCTGTTCTTTAATTTGTTTATCAATTTGATTCATTTCAGCTACATCTTTTGCATGTTTATTATATCTTCCTATACCTAAATTAACAACATCTAATGTAATTTTTGCTCCTTTCATAATTTTTAATGATCTTTCGTAATTTTTATTTTTCTTCACATTCTTTTGTGTCAATTCATTTTCTTTATTTTCTAAAATTGTTAACATACAATTCTGTCGATCTAATTCTGGTTCTGATTTTGATAGACATTGATCATGTACTTCTTTATCAATATCAATTAATGGTTTTGCCTCATCAGCTGATAATTTTAATTGATCTTTCTTTTCCCTTAATTCCTTTAATTTATCTTCAACAATTTTTAAATCATTTTTTGTTCTATTATTATAATATGTAGTTGATTTGTTAACAAATTTATTAACTGCATCTGGTAATTTAATTTCATTGTACTTTATTGTATCACCAGAATCTAATAATTTATCTTCAGCCAAAGATGCACCTTGTGATATTACACTGGCAACAACTGCACAAACAGGATTTACAAATGACAATCCAAAAAGAACAAATTGAAAAATTGTGAAAAAAGTCCTTAAGATCATTTTTCTCTTAAGTTCCTCCTTTTTTTCCTTTAACTTTGCAAGATCTTCTTGCTTCTTCACTATCATATCATCAACTTCTTTAATTAATTTTTCAATTTCTTGATTTAAATTATTAATTCTATCATCTATATAAGCTTTTAATTTATAATCAATTAAATCTTTAGCATTTTTAATTTCATTTTCGAAAATTTTTCTAAAATTATCGCCAATTTTTTGGAATTTTCTGCGAATTTGAAAATGATGTAATTTTTCACCATCATCGATACTTTGTTCCAAGTAGAGATCAATTTTAACAACAGCTTGATCATTTGAATTTAAATCAAATTCATTAATTTTTTTCAAAGCCATATCCTCTAATTTAGAAATTATTGTCTTATAATCATTAGATTGTTGATTAATTTCTGTTTCACTTTTATATAATTCAATTCCCTCTTGATAACCCTCGTACATAATCATTAAAATAGATTTATTTAATTCCACAGAATAATAATATTCCAAATTATATAATTCCTGAACAAAATCTAATGTTGTAAGATTTTTTAAAAACAACAAATTATTATTGAGTTGTCTATACATATTTGCTTGTCTAATTGTACTATTTTTTAAAATATTATTCATAATATATTTTCTATAATCAGCAACAGTAACAGAAAAATCATCTAATTCATTTTGTTTATTGTTAACATCTTTGTCAATTTTAAATGTTCTAAGTTTTCTCAAATGTTCAACATAAAGTTGTGGATGCTGAAAACTTTGAAAATCACCCACTTGAAATGTTCCATTAAATCCAGATTTACCATCAACACCATTTACTGTTGATATATTAATATTTAAAGTATTTGAATTATTTACGTGGAAAATTTTAACATCACCGGATATTCCACCTTTTCCACCGTTGCCCCCAATACCAACCTGAAGTAAACTCAAATTTTTCGTATCATCAATTACAACTTGCATTCCATCTAAACCGTCTCTTCCATTCCCTCCTCTACCACCATTACAGGAAATATAAAAATTTTCACCATTAATTACAGTATCAACTATTCCATAAAATGATCCACCATTTTTTCCTTGTACCCCAGATAAACCATCAAAACGCTGATAACTATCTTGTTTTCTATTATATTGGAGTCCCTGAATAAATTTTTAAAATATTTAATATTAAAATTTTACTATTAAATTAGTTTTAATATAAGTAGAATTAAAAATATATTTTTAAAAATTTCTCAACTTACCAAATTATTATATTCAGAAGCACCATCTAAATTTATAATTCTATTTTGAATAATTTCCCAAATTGGTGCAATTATAATGACTTTCTTGATTTCATTACTAATTAAATCTTCATTGATAATTATTTTTTCCAATGCCAATAGTTCTATCCATGTCACTTTACCAGGACAATAATTTTTATATAAAATTTGACTGAAGATTAATAATTTTCCTTTAATGTGTAATTTATATGTTCCATTATCTAATGGAGAGCATAAATGAAATAGTTTTGAATTAAATAAATTGTTAACGGTAAAAAATACTTGTTTCAATATCTCTTGCTTTTCTCCATCAATTTTCGATATTTCCTCATATAATTTATATGATATTTGAATTTCATTTTTATTTATTTCATTTTTATACATTGTTATCAAATTATTGAACCATTCTTCTTCTCCTTGCAAATAATCAACTTTTAAATCTGATTCACTGATGAATTTTAATGCCTTACTATAGGTATCATCACCAATATATTTCATAAAACAAATTAATCGAACAATTTCATGTTCTTCTTTATCACAAAAATTATTGTCAATAAATTTTTCAATTAGTAAATCGTATTTAGGTTCATTTGTTGATGTTTTTTTATAAAATTCCTTTATTAAATTTAAATAAATTAATACACCCTTTGGTGATGATATATCCATTGAAGATGATTCATTTAAATTAGTTTTCAATAAATCGAATTTATTATTTAATAATTTCAAATTCTCATCAGTTATAGTGGTATGAATTTTTAAAAAATTATTACTCGTTGATATATAATTAGATTGAAGAATTCTTTGTGGATTTTTAGATAAAATAAACATTTCAAAAGTTAAATTTTTTACATGTCTCTCAAGAAATGGTGCTATTAATAAATATTCCAATTGCTCTTTATCAGTTAATTTTATAAAATCACCATCAATATTCATAAGCAATGCAGCAATATTTGAAGAATTTCCAAATTTGGAAAATTTCTCATAAAAATAATTTTCTAATTTATTTATATCAATTATATATTTACTTGGCTCTTTTATACTTAATGGAAGAAAAATAATTTTTCCATTAAGTTCAGTGTAGTGATTTAAAATATCAATTTCTAAAATTTTTAATACATTACTTAACATTGAATTAAAGGTGTCTTTTTTAATTTCCTCTGAGCATGTTACGGCAATTTTTATTTCATCCGCCGATTTTAAAGTTCTTTTTATTAAATAATTTGATAATAATTCATTTTTAACATTTCGAGGATAAACAAAAATATATCTCTCCTTATTGTAATATAAATAATAATGTTGCTTAATATCGTTGTAAATGAATTTTTCTTGAGAAGATAAATTTCCTTTTTCCTCAGGTAATAATCTATTATTGTTACTCAAAAATTCAGCTAATTTAATACTATCATTCATATCCTCAGCTACAATGATAAAAAGTTTATCATAATTTGGCTTTATAAAGTCATTTATTATCGTCAAGGATACGTCGGTCTGAAAAATTTGGTTTATTTGTTTGTTTTTTAAATCTGCTATATATATTTTGAATTAAAATTTTTGGGTGAGAGGAAAAATAAGTAATAATATAATATATTGCATTATATTAATAATATAATATAAAATTTAAAATAATATAATTATAAATAAATAATAAATTAATTTTTTTAGATAGAAAATATTTTCAATTATAATAGAAAAAATAGAATTTAAAAAGAAATATATTAAAATTTTTTTAAACTTACATTTACATGAGGATTTAAGTTTTTAGAAAAACATAAAGTATTTATTTGTATGAAAATTGCGATAAACAGCAACATTTCCTTACGAATTATCATTTTTTTTTTTTTTGATTAAGATTATCGAAAAAAGTATATTACATATATATTTCAAATTAAAACCAGTGGAATTTATACTCTATTTTCACATAATTATTTCCATAATTATGGAAATTTAATGTTTAAACAGCTTCTATGTTTGATAATAGAAAAACTACCGATCATGAAAAACTCAAATTCAAACAATGTTTATCACTATCATTATTAGTTTAAATATATTAAAAATAGTGAATTTGCGTCTTCGTATTCACTTCCATGTTTAATTAAAAAATAAAAATAAAGAAATATAATTTACATATAATGCGTTTTACATATATTTTATTCAATTACAAATATTTGATAACAATGATTATGACGTCAATTTGTATAATATTCGTATAATTTACATTAAAAATTATAAAAAGTTAGTTCTTTTTACATTAAAATGTATATCTAATCAAATTGTTTAAACAATAAAAATAACATCCAAAGACGAATAATGATAATTTTTTTTTTAAATTGTTTTTTAATAAAAAATAATTTGTTTATTACAATAATTATATTTTTTTTTTATTAATAGAATTATGTAGTTATTTATTTATTATTTTAAAAATTTTAATTTTTAAAGACAAATTAACCGCCGGCGACCAAAAGGGCTTACGCATGAATTTCGTTGGCCCCGCGTTCAGCGAGTTTCCAGCTATTCCAGGGGCCAATGAAAACCTTGCCTAAGCCTTTTTGTTCGCCGGCGGTTCAATTAATTAATTTGTCTTTAAAAATGAAATTTTTCTTTAAAAAAATAAATAAATAACTACATAATTCTATTAATAAAAAAAAAAATTCAAATAGAAGAATTCATTATTATTTCTCTTATATCGCATTAGCTACAAAATAGATTTATATTCTAATAATAATAATAATAATAATAATAATAAAAACATGTTTATAGGCTCGATTTAGTATAATTTGGTTTGACTTTAGTGTATTTATAATAAGTTTGGACCCGTAGTTGATTTTTTATATTCGTTTATACAAACGATGAGACCAAGTGAAAATTAATGTTTATCAAGGGGGAAAGTAAGGGGGGGAGGGTTGTTAGAATGGCACACGGTCATCACTGATTGAGAGGGCGGTACCATGTGTTAATAGGTTCTATCTTCTCCACTTTCTCTCTCTCTCTTCTTCTTCTTCTTCTTTCTTCTTTTAGCGCATATCATTTTTTGCCGATGAAAACAATCTTCCCTCTAGACTTATATTCTTATTTCACGACTAATTTCATCTTGTTAGCCAACAGGACTTATATCCTATATATATAGGTCCTTTTAACAGACCTTAATGGTCGCGCGTTAACCTCCACACGCCCAAAGTGCGTCGGTATATTTATATTTTCACTACATATATATATATGAGACGTGGATTAACGATTTGACACGCCATTGTGTGATTTCGGTGGTAGGTTATAACCGACAAAAACCTGTTGGATGAAATCATAAAAAAAAAAATTTGAATAATTTCCATGGGCAGTCGATTTTTTTATGACGATCCAACTTTTTATGTATATTATATAAATATGTATATAAATCTTCTAGGGAATATTTTGATAGTTATTTGCTATGTATAAAAAAATATTTATTATATTTAGAATTTAAAAAAAAACTGATGTCTAATTCGTAATCAGCGACATCGAAAACCCCCGAGTAACGAATTTGAAACAAATCTGATCAATTTAAAGAAAAAAAATTCCGCCATATTGGATCCACCATTTTAAATTTTGAAAATCTGATATCAAATTCGTAATCAGCGATACCGAAAACCCTCGAGTAATGAGTTTCAATCGAATCCGACTAATTTAAAAAAAAATTCCGCCATATTGGAGCCGCCATATTGAATTTTGAAAATCTGATATCAAATTCGTGATCAGCGATACCGAAAACCCCCGAGTAACGAATTTGAAACAAATCTGATCAATTTAAAGAAAAAAAGTCCGCCATATTGAATTTTGAAAATCTGATATCAAATTTTTAATCAGCGATACCAAAAACCCCCGAGTAACAAATTTGAAACAAATCTGATCAATTTAAAGACAATAAGTCCGCCATATTGGATCCGTCATTTTGAATTTTGAAAATCTGATATCAAATTTGTAATCAGCGATACCGAAAACCCCCGAGTAACGAATTTGAAACAAATCTGATAAATTGAAAGAAAATAAGTCCGCCATATTGGATCCGCCATTTTGAATTTTGAAAATCTGATATCAAATTTGTAATCAGCGATACCGAAAACCCCCGAGTAACGAATTTAAAACAAATCTGATAAATTGAAAGAAAATAAGTCCGCCATATTGGATCCGCCATTTTGAATTTTGAAAATCTGATATCAAATTTGTAATCAGCGATACCGAAAACCCCCGAGTAACGAATTTGAAACAAATCTGATCAATTTAAAGAAAATAAGTCCTCCATATTGGATCCGCCATTTTGAATTTGGAAAATCTGATGATTCTGTGAACTGCGGGGAATGTATATAAATAAATAAATGTCAAATTTGTAATCAGCGATACCGAAAACCCCTGAGTTACGAATTTGATACAAATCTGATCAATTTAAAGAAAAAAAGTCCTCCATATTGGATCCGCCATTTTGAATTTTGAAAATCTGATATCAAATTTGTAATCAGCGATACCGAAAACCCCCGAGTTACGAATTTGATACAAATCTGATCAATTTAAAGAAAAAAAGTCCTCCATATTGGATCCGCCATTTTGAATTTGGAAATCTGATGATTCTGTGAACTGCGGGGAATGTATATAAATAAATAAATGTCAAATTTGTGATCAGCGATACCGAAAACCCTCTAGTAACGAGTTTCTATCGAATCCGATTAATTTAAAAAAAAATTCCGCCATATTGGAGCCGCCATTTTGAATTTTGAAAATCTAACTTCATATTCGTAAGCAGCGTCCTTTTTCTATAAACACATATATTTTCCACTAGTAAAATAATATATCTAAGAAGTAAAATAAAGAAAACAATCACAGTAGTATAATAAAGAAAATAATTGAAAAAATTAAAAAGTAATTTATCATTAAAAAAAAAAACATTAAAAAATCAAGGATTTTCTTTGCATATAAAATAATATTCCACAATTTTCATTGAAGCGAAAACTGAAGGTCTATATATTATATTTTATATTAGGGAAAAAAAAAATCAGTTTCCTCAATGTAAAAAATTTTATTTCCTCATTGAGTGGGGAAAAAAAAATGATTTGAAAAAACTCATTAAGACAAAATGCAAATGACGAAAGAGTGAGAGAGAATCTTTTTCCAGATTCTATATTTTGAAAGGTACATCATTGACAGTCGATTGGTACATAAAACGGAACGGTGTGCGGCTTCGGAGAAAAGCGAAGCCGTTCGTGGGAACCGTGAGACAGCTTCTACGAATAAGAAGAAGGTTTGCGCGCGCGATGAAGACATTGCTTTGGAGGGACAAACAAAAAAAAAAAAAAAAAAAAAAAGAGAGAAAATCCCCCAACAAAGATAGAATGTGAAAGAAGAGGATTTCAATATGGAAATTTTGCTCTTTTGTGACATTGGCGTAGTCACATTGGAATCTTTCATGTCTTTCATATATATATATATACATGTATTTCATTTTCAATCGGCCAATGGGATCCATTTTGTTTTGGAGAGGATAACAAAACTACTTTCGATGCATATATAATATATACGTGCGGGAGGTTTTTCGATAACTTCGAATGAGAATACTTTTGGAGACCAACACTTTAAACGGCTAATTGCCATATTGATAACAAAAAAAAAAAGTTTATAATAAGAAAAGGACAAATCAAAAATGTATGGGAACGAAAAAAAGTCGTCTCGCTTCGATATATATGCGTCACACGCAGAGGTTTCTTTTGATCTCGCGGCTTAAATATATATATACGGTTCAAGATTCTACTATATATACTCATATTCTATCTTTCTCAGATTCACAAAGTTGAAATTAAGTTATTTCATCGTTTTATATACATATCTAATTAACATTTTGTTTTATTCAAAACATAAAATTTATTTCTGTACGAATATTTTTTTTTTTTTACTACTTTTGGGACATTTTTTTTTTGCCTTATCTTCATTATCAATATTTTTATCTTCCTTCAATACGACGTTATTGTTACTTCTAATTTAAAGTATTTTTTCATTTTTTTTTCTAGATGTTTTCTTATAAATAAAGTGTCATTTTTTATTTGATGATTATCATACGGAGAATATGCGACTATAAGGTTACTAGAGCAACGGTTACAATGATAAAAGGTTTGATAGCAACAGTTTCTATGGTAACTGGTATTATAGCAACAGTTACTATGGTAACAGGTGTCATAGCAACCGTTGCTATGGTAGCGGTTACCATGGCTACGGTTGCTACGGTAACAGATTTCATAGCAACGGTTTCTATGGTACAGTTACTATGGCAACGGTTGCTACGGTACCAGGTATCATAACAACAGTTAATATGGTACAGTTACCGTGGCAATCGTTGCTACGGTACCAGGTATCATTACAACGGTTGTTACCATATCAGGTTTCATAGCAACGGTTACTATGGTACAGTTACCATGGCAACGGTTGCTATGGTACCAGGTATCATAACAACGGTTCATATGGTACAGTTACCATGGCAACGGTTGCTACCGTAACAGGTTTCATAGAAACGGTAACTATGGTACAGTTACCATGGCAACGATTGCTACAATGCCAGGTATCATAACAACGGTTGCTATGGTACCAGGTTTCATAGGAACGGTTGCTATGGTAAAAGGTATCATAGCAATGGTTTCTATGGTCACAGGTTTTATAGCAACGGTTACCGTGGCAACCGTTGCTACGGTAATAGGGGCTTCATAACAACGGTTGCTATGGTAACAGGTGTCATAGCAATGGTTGCTATGGTCGTGATTACCATGGCAACGGTTACTGTAATAGCCGTTACAGATATCGGTACCATTTTTTCAAATAAAATTTTGAAAAAAATTGTTGTTTCTTTTTCTGATGTTACAGATCCATCCTTTATATTTCCTTTGGGCATTCTTTTCTTTTGAACATTTCTTTTTTTCTACCTTTTTTTCTTAAATTTGTCCCTTTTTGTGTATTCTTGTTCTTTCGCTTTCTAGAAGGTTCCTTCCTTTTTCTGTTTTCTTTTTTCCTTTATCTGAAATTTTTTGTTTATTTTTCCTTTTTATAATATATTTTTCTTAAATTTTTTTTATCGATCTTACAGTATTTTTTCTTGATTCTCTTTTTACAAATATTATTTTCTCGGCAATTTGATTTTTTTTTTTTGTCAAAGCGGTAAAGAGAAAAATTAGAAAATAGCAATAATTTTCTTTTGTATTTATAATATGTATATATATATATTTTTTTTGAAATGATTGTTATGTGTGCGGTTGCATATAAATTTCAGATGTAAATGGAGTTCATTTCAGGTGAGATTATTTCGAAAAAGTATCTCGCATGTGCTATATAGTAGCACACACAGTGGGGACTTTTACAATCGTTACAGATCTTTTGCCGAGCGACCCATACTGAGAGAAAGAGAGTGAGAGCATATAAGCAGTAGGCACATGCGATCTTATGGTAGTCGCCATATAAGACATGTATTTGTAATGGCAATGGTTTGAGAGGCAGTCGAACGCGAGACGCCGAGGTCGCGACATCGTGACCACGGTCAGCCCCTGATTTACATATTGTCCACCGTTCAAACCAGAGTCACGTTTTTTTTTTTTTTGTTTTTTTTTGTCTTTTCTTTGGAATGCCATATAACCAAGATGAAAAGGAGGGGAGAGGGTGAGTTGGTTGGAGAGAAGAATCTCCATCCGCTCGTAATAGCGTCCAAGATCCCCAGACGTTCTGACTATCCAAAGAACCACCAACGTCGATCTTTTTATATGTTACGAAGCTTCGCAGGAGAGAAGGCGTCGGATAATGCATCCTCATTTCTCTATTATATAGAAAACAAGAGCAACTAGACAATTCTCGCCTTAATTTTTTTTTTAACGAAAAAACTTTTTGTTATATAATTTCATAATTTAGCCAATAATTTTTTAAAGGTACATAAAAAAAGAAAATTTTAAATGCGATTATAGACGAATTGTCTGTGTATATTCAGGGACGAAAATAATTTTTTTTTTTTTTTTGTTTCCTGTCAAGTTGAAAGGAGAATTTTTGGGTTTGACAATTCGGTGCGCATACCGATCTTTTACGAGAGAGAGAGAGAGAGAGAGAGAGAGAGAGAGAGAGAGAGAGAGAGAGAGAGAGAGAGAGAGAGAGAGAGAGAGAGAGAGAGAGAGAGAGAGAGAGAGAGAGAGAGAGAGAGAGAGAGAGAGAGAGAGAGAGAGAGAGAGAGGGAAAAGCGACTGTAAGCAAACAATGCTGCAATAATAAACTTGGCAGGTTGAGGCGTTAAGGATCGCCTCAGGTGTGTTTGATGCTGGACCAGGTAACACTTGCACCTGACACCACAGACACTGTCCTAAATCACTTGAGATCGAAAATTATTTTACAACTTTACAAGGCTATTTTAACAGTGATCTTTTAACAGTTTTGAAATGCTTTTAAATTTCCCTTCTTCTTCCACGTTACTGGAGTTTTAAACTCCCAGACAACAAGACGAAGGACCTTCTTTTATATAATAAAGAATCTAAAGGATTTAAACTTTTTTTTTTTACTCTTTTTCACAATAGTTTAAGTATTGTTATACAAAAAAAAATATTTTTCAATTAATTAATACATTAAAATAGTTATTAGTTATTCATTAAAATAGTTTTGTTACATAATTGCTTTTGTCGAAAAATTAGCATAATTACTTTGCCGGATAACTTAAAAAAAAAAAAAGATCAAAGTAAAGTGCGGGTGGTCAAAATTTTTCTATGGTATGCGCTCACACAGGATTGGAATTTGATGTGAATTCCGGGAGTGAGAAAATCGCAATGATTATATAAAAGAATTTTCAATTTCCTGTCGTTATAGGTTTTTTTTTACAGTCATCAAAAATATAAATTTCAATCCTTCTAAGAATCATATTACAATATTAAACAATATAAGTGACTCAAATTTTCATAGAAACACACACACACACACATCGTGCAACAATAATTTCGGTAGATAGTCAAAGAGAGAGAGAAATCTATGAAATATATATATATTCAAAATTATAATTTTAATAATAATATTTAAGCGACCAAAATAATAACTCATCGAAGATATTTGAGTCATAGAAAAATGGATCCAGAACCGTGAGAGATTCAAAGCGGAAATCCTGGAATGTGCGTTCGCTAAAGATGTGGTATTTTTTTTTATATGGATTTATCCCTTTCGATTATACTGCACATATTTTTGCCAGTAACAATCATAAAGAAGAAGAATAATATGAGAAAAGAAAAGAAACAAAAAGAACGAGAAGAGGAACAAGAATGAGGAAAAAGAAAAAAATTACAAGAATAGAAATAAGAAGAGGAACATGAGAAACAAGAAGAAGAACAGAAATAAGTAGAGGGACAAGAAGAAGGACAAGGAGGGCAAAAAAAATACCAAGAGGAACAAGAAAAAAGAAGAGGAACAAGAGAAACAAGAAGAAGAACAAAAATAAGTAGAGGAACAAGAAGAAGGACAAGGATAACAAAGAAAAAAATAATAAGAGGAACAAGAAAAAAGAAGAGAGACGAAAGAAGAGGAACAAGAGAAACAAGAAGAAGGACAAAACTAAGTAGAGGAACAAGAAGAAGGACAAGGATAATAAAGAAAAAAATAACAAGAGTAACAAGAAAAAAGAAGAGAGACGAAAGAAGAGTAACAAGAACAACAATAAATAAAGGAACAAGAAGAAGGACAAGGATAACAAAGAAAAAATGACAAGAAAAAGAAGAACAACAACAAGAAAAAAAATAGAAATAAGAAGAAAAACAAAAGGAACGAGAAGAAGAATAAGGACAACAAAAAAATAAAAAGAGGCACAAGAACAACAACAAAAATAGAAATAATAAGAGGAACAAGAAAAAAGAAGAGAAACGATTGGAACAAGAAGAGTAACAAGATCAAAAGCAAGAGGAAGAACAAGAACAAAAATAAATAGAGGAACAAAAATAAGAACAAGAGGAACAACAAGAATAACAAGAACAAAAATAAGTAGAGGAACTAGATAAAGAACAAGAGGAACAAGAAGAATAATAAGAACGAAAAAAAGAGGAGGAACGACAGGAACAAGATAAGTAACAAGAATAACAAGAACAAAAACAATAACAGAGGAACAAGGATATTAAAGAAAAAAAATAACAAGAAGAACAAGAACAATAACAAAAATAGAAATAAGAAGAGAAACAAGAAAAAAAAAGAGAAACGCATGGAACAAGAAGAGTAACAAGATCAAAAGCAAGAGGAAGAACAAGAACAAAAATAAATAGAGGAACAAAAATAAGAACTAGAGGAACAACAAGAATAACAAGAACAAAAATAAGTAGAGGAACTAGATGAAGAACAAGAGGAACATAAGAATAATAAGAACGAAAAAAAGAGGCGGAACGACGAAAATAAGATAAGTAACAAGCATAACAAGAACAAAAACAATAACAGAGGAAAAGGATATCAAAGAAAAAAAATAACAAGAAGAACAATAACAAAAATAGAAATAACAAGAGGAACAAGAAAAAAGAAGAGAAACGAAAGGAACAAGAAGCAGAGTAATAAGAATAACAAGAACAAAACAAGGAGAGGAACAAGAAGAGTAACAAGAATAACAAGAACAAAAACAAGGAGAGGAACAAGAAGAGTAACAAGAATAGCAAGATCAAAAACAAGAAGAGAAACAAGAACAAAAATAAGTAGAGGAACAAGAACAGAAATGAGTAGAGGAACAAAAATAACAAGATCAAAAACAAGAAGATGAAGAACAGAAATAAGTAGAAGAACAAGAAGAGTAACAAGAATAACAAGAACAAAAACAAGGAGAGGAACAAGAAGAGTAACAAGAATAACAAGAACAAAACAAGGAGAGGAACAACAAGAGCAACAAGAATAACAAAAAAACCAGAGGAACAAAAAAAAAGAAAAGAAACGAAGGGAACAAGAAGAGTAACAAGAATAACAAGAACAAAATCAAGGAGAGGAACAAGAAGAGTAACAAGAATAACAAGAACAAAAGAAGGAGAGGAACAAGAAGAGCAACAAGAATAACAAAAAAACCAGAGGAACAAGAAAAAAGAAGAGAAACGAAGGGAACAAGAAGAGGAACAAGAATAGCAAGATCAAAAACAAGAAGAGAAACAAGAACAAAAATAAGTAGAGGAACAAGAAGAACAAGAACAGAAATGAGTAGAGGAACAAAAATAACAAGATCAAAAACAAGAAGATGAAGAACAGAAATAAGTAGAAGAACAAGAAGAGTAATAAGAATAACAAGAACAAAAACAAGGAGAGGAACAAGAAGAGTAACAAGAATAACAAGAACAAAACAAGGAGAGGAACAAGAAGAGCAACAAGAATAACAAAAAAAACCAGAGGAACAAGAAAAAAGAAGAGAAACGAAGGGAACAAAAAGAATAACAAGAATAGCAAGATCAAAAACAAGAAGAGAAACAAGAACAAAAATAAGTAGAGGAACAAGAAGAACAAGAACAGAAATGAGTAGAGGAACAAAAACAAGAGGACAAGATTAACAACAAGATATTTGACAAGAATGTTAAGAAAATTTGAAACCTACACAAAGAAAAATTGTACAAATTATCTTGCATCATGTCTAACAAACCGCAAAACATGCGGCGAAATGAAGTATACTCAAAAGCAATGTATTCGTGTTGCTTCGCCTTCCGACCGCAGTCAGGCACGAGGCCCATGTTGATGATGCCTTGTTAATCCGCGAAACGACCGTCAGGAATCCCAAAGAGCATGTCGTATTAGAACCTAGTGGGTCCCCTCAAAGGCCGCGTTCGCCATGAACTATATGGAGTCCCAACACACACACACACACCCACAGCAGATATACCCAATTGGATATCTACACTGTCGGTGTGTGACCATTGGTGCAAAACAGGAACATGATGAAATAACTGTCTCATCACTTCTTGTTGTATATCCCATTATCGTTTCATCGGTCGTTATTGCTCATACTATATATGAAAACTGACACGATTTAAAGAAAAAAATCTCCAAAATTATTTTTAATTTAATTCTTTTTGTCCCATCATAATTCTTTTATCATTGGGGTATTAAATTTTAATATTGTACTAAAAAAAAAGAAGTGTCTTACAAGTTATTACAAAGAAGAGGAACTCTTCGATAAAGAACAATTAATGAAAAAAAAAAAATTCTTGTTCTAAAATGTTTAGGAACAAAACCCAAATGTTATCGAAAAAAAGTAATTGCAAAGAAACAAAAAAGAAGATAATAGTTAAGACAAAGTAACGAATAATGGCAAAATAAAGAGCTGACGATGCAATCATGTGGAGAGGGGAAAAAAATGGAGAAGTGGCAGGAATTTGTGATGGACCACAGTCGAAGATGTCTATATGGGAAGGAGCAATGAAAAAAGATGGAATGAGGTAGTACACGTTTGTCTGTGGTATTTTTGGCAAGAGGGATTATAAGGGAAGATGGGGGTGAAGTATGCAGAGTCGAGGTGAAGAGACCTCGTCTCGGGAGAGAGGCGGCGGGATGAAACGAGATCACCCGCACGTGGGAAAGTGCGAGGTTCGACCGTAGGGGGTCTTGTTCCTGTTCTATCCTGCCTCTCTCAATCGTCTCTTCATCTCTTTCATTCCCTCTCTCTCTCTCCCTCTCTCTCTCTCTCTCTCTCTCTCTCTCTCTGTCTTTTGCGCTCACCTTCCCTTTCAACTGGCTCACTTCTTTTCTTTTCTATCCTTTAAGCACACACTGTGTCCCAACACAACACGGATTCGTATTTCTTTTCGACCGTCGCCACTTATTTGTACCAAAAATTCTTCGCACAACAATCATCATATATAGCTTCATCCTATAAAACTAAATAGCTCCTAACTTCTGTGTGTTCGCCACGTTATTAATCAAAATTATATATATATGATAAATTTTTTGTTTTATGACTATATTGTATAATATATTACTTTTTTAATAGATTGTATTAGAAATAATTTCTAACTAATTGTAATAAATTATTAATTTGTAAAATTATTTTTACTAGTAGATGCGGAAAAAAAAGAATTAACAATAGATTTTAATATTTTTGATCCATGAAAAAAGAACAATTGATTTCTTAATTCGAACACGGAGACCAAATTTTCTGTGCTATCTACAAACTGCAGTTGTAATGACTACAAAACAGATTTTGGAACATACACAAATCGGATTTGTGAACAAAATAAATATTTTGGCTCACGCACAAATTTTTTTTGTGAAAAAACAGATTATTTTGTGATTTACCCAAACATGCTTGTTGGAAACACTATTTTTTTGCAGTTTTTACAATTTGTCTATTCTAAAATTGGAGTTGTGGTTGCCACTTAACAAATAGTTTGGTTGCTTAAATACCAACAAAATTTTGTTGTTGGCCCAACCAAATTTTGGTTACATTTTTCTCAGTGTAATAGTAATTGGCACAACCAAATAGAAATAAATAAATAAATTTTGTTGCCGCAAATTTCGTTAAGCACAACCAAAATTTTGATTCCAATATCAAAATGTTTTGTTGTCAACAAAAAATTTTTTCTCTATTTATTCTACAGCCACTACTAGGTAATAAAAATCTATTAAAATTAATTTAAAATAGTATAGTGTAATTTGAAAATTTTTTTTAAGAAACAAATACATTTTTCATTACTTTTTTTTTTTTTTATTGTCCAACGAGGCGTGGATTATGCGCGCATATACATCAAAAGAAGATCCCCGTCTTAAAAAAAAAAAAAAAATCCGGGTCTCTATTTAATGCTCGCATATTTGTATTCCGACATCTCCGATTACTGATGGGGACCGATGAATAACAGGTCCCAACAGACCGCACACCAAAAACAATAATACTCGTGCGCAAAAAGGATTGCTTTAATTTTTCCGACACCTATGTCAAATATATCACAGTAAGAATGATAATATATTAAAGGATGCTGCACGAATCTCTGTTGCATCGAAAAAGAATACAAAACCCTTTCCTTCTCACTCAACAAAAAAATATATGTCACACATTTGTGAGAAATATTTATAATATCCAAAAATTGTAATCAAATACGAGAAAGAAGGAAACAAAGAGGATCTTTTTTTTTATGGACCAACAATTTTAGAATCGAGTTCAACTTTTGTTTTTTTTTTTATATGCGGCTTCTTCTTTCACCGCAAACGATTTTTTTGGCGGATGAGAATCGAGCTCGCTAATTGAAGAGAGAACGATAGGTGCGCGTTCAGGCTTAATTCCTCTTCTCTTTCAAATAAGTGCCTCTTTATAGTGTTTCCACATACATATATACACACATATATATATACCAAGGATCGTCCTCGAACGACTCTTCTCTATCGGTCGCACTTTGGGTGGCGAGAGAATCTCGTTTCTCGTTAGTCCTTAAAGCCGTGTGGTGGTTGGGAGTCCAAAAGAGATCTCAGGAGCATGATATCAACCGTTCTCTTGGGTGGAACTCAAACGTCATCTCTAAACACCAAACACATAGTTAGTACACGAAATGCAATTCGGTGTCCAATTACATTTGTCTTCAATTCTTTCTTTTTTTTTCTGGTCCAAAACAGTAGATTTTTCATTTTTTTTTTTTATATCATTTTAATCATCTCATTTTTATTTCTTCTTTTCTTTTGTTCAATTCTTTTTGGTTTTCGTATATTTGAATTATAATTATTTTTTTTGCTTTTGACGTAGAAGGCTAATTTATTTCCTTATTTTAATTTTTTCATTATTAATTTATAGTTTTTATCTTCTTTTCTAATTCCTATTACAACGGCGACTATAGCATCGGTTCCCATGTAAACTGTTTTTATAGCAACGCAGTTCCTATGGAAGCTGTTTCTTCAACAACAATTTCCATAGCAATGCTTACTATAGCAACAGTTCCATAGTAATTATTTCCATAGCAACGGTTATTATGGTAACGGATTAGATAGCAACGGTTCCTATGTCATCGGTTACTATAGCAACGGTTCCACAGAAACAATTTCCATAGCACCGTTACTATAGCAACGATTCCACAGATAAAATTCCTATAGCAACGGTTACTATGGCAACGGTTTCAAAGAAACAATTTCAATAGCAACGGTTACTATGGTAACGGTTCCATAGTAATTATTTTTATAGCAACAGTTATTATGGTAACGCATTCTATAGCAACGGTTCCTATGTCATCGATTACTATAGCAACGGTTCCACAGAAACAATTTCCATAGCACCGTTAGTATAGCAACGATTCCACAGATAAAATTCCTATAGCAGCGATTACTATGGCAACGGTTCCAAAGAAACAATTTCAATAGCAACGGTTACTATGGTATTAGGTTACATAGTAACTATATCCATAGCAACAGTTATTATGGTAACGGATTCTATAGCAACGGTTCCTATGTCATCGGTTACTATAGCAACGGTTCCACAGAAAAAATTTCCATAGCATCGTTACTAAGGCAACGATTCCACAGATAAAATTCCTATAGCAACAGTTACTATGGCAACGGTTCCAAAGAAACAATTTCAATAGCGACGGTTACTATGGTAACGGTTCCATAGTAATTATTTCCATAGCAACAGTTATTATGGTAACGAATTCTATAGCAACGGTTCCTATGTCATCGGTTATTATAGCGACGGTTCCATAGCAACAGTTCCACAAAAACAAGTTCTATAGCAACAGTTACTATAACAACGGTTCCTATGTCAGCGGTTACTATAGCGACGGTTCTCATAACAACGGTTCCTATGTTAACTATTTCCATATAGCAACGGTTTCTATGTCAGCGCTTACTATAGCAACGGTTCCTATGTTATCGGTTACTATAGCGACGGTTCTCATAGCAACGGTTCCTATGTTAACTATTTCCATATAGCAACGGTTCCTATGTCAGCGGTTACTATAGCAACGGTTCCTATGTAATTCCATATAGCAACGGTTCCAATGTCAGCGCTTACTATAGCAACGGTTCCTATGTTATCGGTTACTATAGCGACGGTTCTCATAGCAACGGTTTCTATGTTAACTATTTCCATATAGCAACGGTTCCTATGTCAGCGGTTACTATAGCAACGGTTCCTATGTAATTCCATATAGCAACGGTTCCAATGTCAGCGGTTACTATAGCAACGGTTCCTATGTAATCGGTTACTATAGCGACGGTTCTCATAGCAACGGTTCCTATGTTAACTATTTCCATATAGCAACGGTTCCTATATGTCAGCGGTTACTATAGCAACGTTTCCTATGTTAACTATTTCCATATAGCAACGGTTCCTATGTTATCGGTTCCTATGTCATCGGTTACTATAGCGACGGTTCCCATAGCAACAGTTCCACAAAAACAAGTTCTATAGCAACAGTTACTATAACAACGGTTCCTATGTCAGCGGTTACTATAGCAACGGTTCCTATGTTGACTATTTCCATATAGCAACGGTTACTTTGACAGAGGTTCCATAG